AAAAAAAAAAAAAAAAAAAGGAAAGTAATAGTTGAGCTGCCTTTTCTGAGAAAGATGCTCTTACTTACTGGAGGTCCTGGCAATCCTCTGGCCTGAAAACAAAATGTTAAAACAATGAGATATCATTTAGAAACTGGCTACACAAGCAGATTATTGTTGCAAACCAAAACCCGAACAAAAAAAATCAAAACTCTCTTCTTCCCTTTAATGCTCCTATATCTCCATTTACAATTAGAAAGTGGATCTGAATCCTGACAGTATCTTGTCTTGTGCATTCCCTTTCCACGGCTGTTGCTTAAGGACTTATTTTCTGCTCTGGACAAAAATGACCTATGCATATGTGAAGGCAGAAATATAGCCTTTGAGGTTTTTTTAACTTGGTTGTCCTTACAGCATTTTTGCTGTTGACAAGCTATTCCTCTTGGCACTTGCTAAAAGTTAGATTAAGAGAAATATGGTATCTTCCCAAGTGCCGACGAAGCTACTACAAGAGAGTTGTAAGTAGAGTCACATCCCAGTCTCAGGTGATGGTGAATCTGCATGAAGTATTAGACTCAACGAGATATTACACGTGCACGACATAAGCTGTGCTCTTGCCTATTCTGAATCTCACCTACCTGCATCGACATTGTGACACCTGGTTATAAGAACTGAAGCCTGCGAAGAGTAAAGGAGTCAAGAAAGATGCACGCTATTTCTACCCAGCTTGCTTGTTCACCTGGCTAAGACACTACCTAATCAATACCTTGAAAAACACTACTCATTATTTCTTCATTTAAGGAGAAAAGGTTTCTTAACTGCAGCAGTTCTGCTGGGAGATTCTCCTTAGACACCCATTAAGCTCAGCACCAAACCTGTGGCAGTCATTTTGTGACTATGACATGGATAATGAGCATTTCCCCTCATTCCCACTGATCCAGATAGCGGAAGTTAAATGTGACCTCCCATTTAACACAGCAATCTAACATGTCCGTACAGGGTTGAGAACAAAGTTTCCGTGAACTTTAGAGGACTTAGTGGGCTGAACCTACTGACAGCTCCTTTTGTCTCTTTGGAAATGACATTATCTTACTCCATGAAATACCTGATGAGCCAGTCGTGAGAGCCGTCTGGGTTGCTTTCCAGCACCAGGAAAGCAACAGAAGGACTCCCACTGGTCATTATAATGTTTATAGCCACCTCTAATAATGCACATTTTTTTTTGGTTTAAGTCGGGCTCATACTTTCCTGTGACAACGTGGCTACGCATCTGGAAACTGGCTACGCAAGTAGATCATTGTGGCAAATGAAAACCTGAACAGAATAAATCGAAGCTACCTTGAACACTCCCCTGCTCCCAACTATCTCCATTTTCCATTAGAAAGGAGCCTTGCTGCTATGTTACTGTGCAGCATTCTTCGTGCATATTGCTTATCCATGCTAGATAAGAAATGTTCAAATGCTAAAAGTTACTCACAGCTGATCCAGGGGGCCCTGCAGGTCCCAAAGCGCCCTGTGGGGTTAAAACATCAGAAAGTGAGTGAGCAGGTAGGTCGCATCAAGAGTCAAATAAGGTCTGTTCCTAGTCCACTTCTTCAGTCCCTCTAGAGCTCTGCAGATCTTGGAGGTTACTTGCCTTTGGGGAAGCTCAAAGAAACCCCATACACATGGAAAAAGCAGACTGAGTTCACACCCATAAGCAAAAAACTTTATTCACAGACACTTTGACATTTCTGATCACTTCGTTGACTCAGGAATGTTTCCCAGATCACAGAGCTGGATGTTCAAAGTTTGGTTCCCCCCCCCGTTTGCTTGGCAAATACAATGAACCAAAACTGAAATATAAGACTCTCCTAAGTGACTTTAAATATGAGAATCCACACCTCCTAGCAGCTATGGATTAGTCTGTGAACATGTAGCATCTGTATAGTGAACCTCGTTCATATGAACTCTCCCATCCCTTGAAGACTTCATGCTGCAGACCTGATGATAGATTTTAAAGCTGCTTTCAGGACTGAGACACAGTTGAACTGAATTTTATTTTTCTGCCAGCAAAGACATTTAATTTTTGTGACTTGTGCATTCTCATGACTTCCCTTGAAAAATCCCCCAACCCTTCCGGCGTTATTTCCCTCTAGCTTTTGCTTTTAAACTCTTAAGCCTGGATTACAGCTTGGTGAGCGTGTCTGTGATATTAAATTGGGTTCTAAAATTAAATCACTGTCAAAATTATTAAGTTTCCTCTTAATTAAAGATAACAAGACAGACAGATGGGTCTTTTGAATCCCTTTGTTGTATTCCAAAAGGTGCCAACACTGCCAAACAGACAGTATAATTAATTGCAGGTAACAGCTCTGAAAATGAATTGAAATGGAAAAATGCACAAATAAAACCATGTTCCCTGAATGGTGCATATTACTGCCATGGACTCTGTACTGATATGGGACAAGAGAACCAGGCACAGTATGGCTGGCCTCCTACAATTTAATCGCTCCATCTTGTTGGTACGTGCAGTTATAGGAAAGGTTTATTTGCATTGGTGTTGTCAAACATTTTCCCCGTTATTCAAGTGAGGATCCATGGTGGTGGCTGATAATACCACGGTTCTCCAGTCACCTTCTCTACAACAGTCCGGGGATTAGAGGCTTATCTATAAGAGCAATGCAGCATCCTTTATAAATAAAACATTAGCTTGCAGTAGGATACATCTCAAGACATAGCCAGCCATACTAATACAACCCTGAGGGACCATAAAGGCACGTCATCCCCACTTTCTCAATCTGGGCAAAAAGCTGACATCTCTAAGATGAGATGCTATAAATTTGCGAGTAACTCCAGAGTCTTCACTAGTGCAAACCAGATTTGCAAAACCAAAGATGCAAACTGGCTTGTGATCTTATGTCTACAACACTATCAAACTGGGTAACTGTGTGCAAAAATCCCTAGGAGTGGCTATTTGCCTGGACAGCGAAGCTCGTTGTGCATATAACCATGGTAACCACAGGCCAGATCCGATTTAAATCTATTAGGCATCCCAGGGCCTATTTGTGATCCTTTCCCCTGAAAAACTATTAGTGCAAAAGGGGGATTGGCCTGCACTGCTTTTTGCGCTTTAGTCTTCAGGCTAAGATGAAGGTGTGTTATAAAAGGATGTTGAGAGTTTTCCAGGGACTTGAACAAGGTGGAGGAGGATCAACTTGGACAAGCAAATGCCACTTGCATGCTTAGCTGGTGGAATAGGTTCCGGCCCTGCATGTACAAACTAGACACGCAATCTCATGCTGGCAGGTTTTGAATGCCAGAAACTCTTTATCCAAACAAACCAACCAGCAGGTACACTTAGGAGGTACAGTGGAATAAATGTTTCTAAGCAGAACATAACTATAGTGGCCTACAAACACAAACTGCACCTCCCTAGGATGCTACAGAGCAAGCCTGCAAGCACAGGCAGCACTAAACCAAACTTTACCCTGTAGACAAGTGGGTGAGGAAGTGCACAATTGAGCAAATTCAGAAAATGTAATGCATGAACACACACAAAAAATATCCTGATGACTATTTGGCGCTATCATTTAGAAGCCAATTTTGCCATGCTGTGAACCGTAGGAGTCAACAAGAACCGTAGTGGTATCTGTTCATGGGATCGCTGTCCTCCGAACCATGGAGAGCTTACAGGATTGATTGCACGCTGACACAATATTTAGTATAAAAGAGTATTTGCTTAAAACTTCATGGCTGTCAGTAGGAGATGTTAACCTGGGAGCCTTCTATCTGGATGATACCGTCTGAACTAAAATGGGAGAATCTCTTAACAGACTGATCCCTCTCACAGGACTATCCTAGGAGCAAACCTCAGTTTTTTCCTAATCAAACTAAAATCTATGGCACACCACAATAACTACCAGCTGCCCAGCAATTTGAGATACTGTAACTCACTATTGTATAGGACGATAGTAATGTAAGGCAAATCACAGAATCGTAGAGAAGTAGGGCTGGAAGGGACCTCAGGAGGTCATCTAGTCCAGCCCCATGGCTCAAGGCAGGACCTTCCCTATCCAACCCATCCTAGACAAGTGTTTGTCTAACCTGCTCCTAAAACGGCATGAACAACCGTCTTGTGCAACTACCAGGCACAAGGCCCCAACTCATCAAAGACAGACAAGGTTCTTTGGGTGAAATTGTTATCTTTTATTAGACCAACTTAAATAGTTGGAAAACAATTTTTAAGTAAGCTTTCAGGTTCAAAAACCCTTCATCAGGGAAGGTTTCAGCAGTTGGTGTGTGCTCTTCCTGGCTGAAATGAAACCTTGTCTGCCTATGTCCTTAGACCAACACGGCTACAACCTACACCGCTGCAACCCATCCAATACACTCTAACCTGCTACAGGAGGAGCAAAGGGATGAGGGCAGTGCCAATGTCCTGCCACTGCAAGGACAGGAAGTCAATTATTAAATAACAATCCAAGGAAGAGGCCCATGTGGTCCACCTACTGCAGAGAAAAGCAAAGACCCCCCCACAGGCCATGCCAATAAATAGCGTGTTGTCATCACATAGGAAGGGGGAATCTAAAAAAACAAGCACTGGAAGTACCTCAGTGGTCCTGATGCTCCCATGATTTGGGCGGGTTTGGATCAGCTCACATCTTCCCATAGCAAGGACCCAGCAGCATGGGTCCGAGGCTTCATCTTTTGCAGCCAGGGTCAGAAGAGTACATGGTGGGGAGAAGAGCCTTGCTTCCATGCCAGCCGTTCCCAGTTGCTGTGTCAGCCCCTTTTGGACCATTAATGGCTGTGCTAAATTACTTTAGGGAATGAGGGCAATGCACAGCTAGCTCAGACAGCACAAAGTGCAGCTCAAAATGCCTCAGCCAGACAGAAGAGCCAGCACCTGCCGTAGAGACGTGAGCAACTCCCAGTGCAAGGTGAAGAATTTCACCATTTCTCCAGATCTCCGATGACTGACCAGCTTATGCAGATAGGCGCACGCACGTGTGTGCATGCATTCTGTAGACCAGGTTCTTCGGGTAAACGTGATCTCTTTTATTAGACCAACTAAATAGTTGGAAAAAATTGTTCTTTGCAAGCTTTCGGGTACACACCTGTGTGTGCAACACAGGGAGCTGATGAGTACACAGGAACCACAGACACTGCGCACTGTTGGCCTTAATCTCTACCTAGGAAATTCATTACTGTTCCAAGCTCAGATTGACACAAGAGAAAGTGAGTGCTCTTCCCTGCCACGCGTCAAGTGCTGCACCTCGGTGGAAGGGACTGGGGTCACACAACTTTGCTCCAAGACTCAGTTGTCATTTAAAATGGAAGGAACACTTGTTGCTATGTAGTAAGGCCCAGTATCTCCAATATTTAGATGCTTAACTCCTATTATAACCAGTAAGAATTAGGTGCCTAAATAGGAGTTGTCCCCCGATATTTGGGCAAAAGTGCTAAGGATTTTTATTCATGTTTTCAATTCTCACCGACATTGTTTTCATCAGGAAACCACTCCACGGTCAAAATAATTCAGCATCTGGCCTTCTCACAGTGTGGCTACTGCCATGTCGTAAGAAGCCCAGATCTTGTATAACTTCAGCCCCATAAATACCCTCTCTGGAGCATTTGGGAGTAGGTAGGGGGGAAGGAATCAGTGAAATGTGTCCCCCCCAGTCATACTAAGGGTGACGTATGACTACATTGTACTTCCAAGAGCTTCTGCTTGAGCTTAGCTGACTTGTGCTCCCAGAGTTTCGAGATTACTCATAACCAAAGAGCATTAGCTATTGCAGGGTAAAGAAAATCCAGCCAGACAATGCCAGCAGCACAGTGATTTAGTTATCCATCTTACCAACACAAAGGAAAAGAAGGGGAGAAGTGCCACTCTTATTTGGCATAAATGATAATGTTTGTCTGCTGCTACCCCCACAGACCTCGCAGTGAATGTTCATAAGCTCTATTGACATTCAGTATTTGAGATATAACCACACTGCTCTCAAGCACTCATTGTGCATAAGTCTTTGTTTTGAATTTCTATTGTTCTTGGCTGATTCGATTCAAGAGCAAAGGCAGAACTTAGAATGGCAAATGAGAAGATGAAAGGCTCAGACATAACAAGCGATGCTTTCATTTACAGGGCATTTTAAACTAATGTTGCTCAGGCAGCAGCATCGTCATCATCCGCTTAAGGAGTGACACAGGAGCGTCTTGGTCTGCCTCCCAGGTCTATGTTGCCAAAGGCTCACAAAACACTTGCATGAAAAACCTATGCATTTACCATGACGGCACACACAAAAAGGTGGTGCTACTTTGTGCACGCAGTTGTGCACATGTGTAGGCCCAGAAACCTCAGCTGGTCCGTGTGCATGGAGCCCCTCTGAAATCACACCAGCTGAGCTCCCTCTACGTCAGCAGGTATCAGTGGCCCACGGGCTCCTATTCGAACAGCTCTCCCTACAATTTCTGCTCTAACTGAATCCCATTTTGTCTTGTGCCAGTTTGTCACGCTGCAATTGCTTTCTCTTTTATGAGTGCCGTTTCAAGCCAATGGGGGAACAAGCAAATGCAGACGACAGGCTGGAGGCATCTCAAGCATAACCTGCCTTACCCAGCCAAAGATACCCATTATCTCCTACCTACCCATCGTCTTCTCCCATTGCTCTGTTGCTTGTTTGTAGACCGCTTATCCAAGAGATATAGGATGTGTTCCTCATTAATACTGCATTGGGGAAAACCAGGTCTGATACAAGAAGTCGCACAATCTGCAACCTGAAGCTCAAACTGAACCAGGCCCCATGCTTGGGACTTTTGAAGAATATTAAGCCCTCAATTCCCATCAAAAGTCATGGGAGTAGGACACCTAATTCTTCCAGGATCCTCTGAACATGGCAGTCAGGGTGCAGATCGCTCTGATGACTTTTCTTTTGCACATCCCGGGAGAGGCTGCAAGAAGGAGCAGAAGTGCTGGAATACCATGGCTCAGCAGAGCCTTCCTGAGACAGGGAAGTGCCTTTGCTGTCAGAAGGAATGAGCACTTGTGGCAGAGCTGATATCTTTTATTAGACCAACTGGATAGTTGCAAAAAACCCCAATTCTTTATTTGCAAGCTTTCATGCATGCTCACCCTTCTTCAGGCATAGAAGAATGCAAAGATTGGGAAATTTCACCTAGGTGGAAATGCAAATTCATATTTCACAGGACAGCTGAAAATATTGTAAGATCTCCTGGTTGGAGAAGCTCGTTTTGTGCAAATTAGACTCAGGTAAAAATTAGAGTAATCTATTTACCTTGAGGTTGTCTGATGGCAAGCAGGATGTTGTACTGGCTGTCAGAAGGATGTGAAAGGAAGCCAAACAGCCTTCTCGCAAGAGGCTATAATTTAGCCTCCAAGGTCTTAGCCAGGGAGTTATTATTTCCAAAAGGGCATTTCACAATTACTTTCTTTCACGGGGGGAAGGGGCATCATTTCCTGAATCCAAAACATACCCAACACAAGCAATGCAGGAATAGGACAAGCAGGCAGACGCGGAAGTGTCCCAGCGGCGCGGTTGTGCATGCCTGTGCAGTGATCCCCAGCAGGTCCCCGGCCCTGGCCCTGCTCTTGGCATTCCAGCCCCAATTACAAGTGTTTTTCCTTATTAAGTTCACAGAGGAAGGCTAAGCAAACAGACAGACCCTGAGGACCCACGCCCCTCATTAGGAAGAGTCTTGCTAGGACCAGACTGTAATCCAATAAAGATCAGCTCTGTTGCAAATCTCAGCTCAGTCATTTTCCTCCTACTTAGCGTCCCGGTTGCGCTCCATTGCTTTTATCTTTTGTCTCCAGCCCGCTAAGCTTGTACTGATGACTACAGGACAAGCGAGGCTCTTTTCCCAGAACTTTCCTGACATCCATTGACTGAAGCCCAGACATCATTCCCATTGAAATCAATTCCACAACTTCCATTGGCTTTGCTGGGCTCGGGCGCAGACTCTTTTGGACCTTGTTTTCTATACTGTTTCAGTGCCTCACCCTAACTTGCATTTGAATTGGAGCGAAGTGTCTGAATACCTCTGAAGATCTTGGCCTCAGTAGGTAATAATGAACATTATGCGATCCCTTCTAGCCCTAAACTTCTGTGAATCTGTGAATTCCTCCTACTTTTACACCGGGCCCTGGGCAAGCTGGAATCACTCCATTAAGCTCAGTGGAGAGGCAGTGGTTTACATCAGTATTGTAATAGGGCATTTTTGACTTCACTCTCTCCAGCAACAATATTTTCTCCTATCATTAGAAAAACTATCCTGCTGGAATTTCTCATTTTGAGGCAATATGATTTCTGAATCTATAAGTATGAGGGCATGGAAAATCCTTGAATTCTGAATTCAGACACACATTAGGAATGATTATGCACGGTAGCAAGTTGCAGAGCCGAGACGATTTCTCAGAGCTCCGCTGGTTTGTGGATGCGTTCTGCATCACCTCTGCTCGAAAACACTAAACTTCAGCCAGCAGTTTTTAAAATCTTTTGATCATCAGGAGTCAGAAATAAGGCAACAGTCCGATGATCTTATTTCCAAAAATAACTGCCTTTCTGTTTAAAAACTAACTGGACCTGATGCTGCACAGACCTACCAGCAATGTCGGCGGGCATTGCGTCTGAGAGCGCCTCTACGGCAAGAAGAGTCCTGGAGTGCCAGACTTAATGGACGATGACATTGGCCAGACTGAGCATTTCCTAGCTGTACTGACAGTGACAGCACAAGTGGGAGAGCAGACTTTTATTAGTTGTATACAACAGAAACTGAAAATCTCTCGTGAGTGTGATTGGACTGGGATGATCTAGTTCTGCTTTGAACAGGGGGGTTGGACTAGATGACCTTCGGAGGTCCCTTCCTACCCCCATTTTCTGTGATCCTATGTCCTGCCACGCACCAAGCCACCTGTTTAGAAGGACAGCCAGGAGAGTCTTTGTTGCTCTCTAGTTCAGGAAGCCATCCCTATTCAGGAGGGCACTTAACTGGAAGAACAAGCCTGAGTCCCACTGTGGTCAAACATATGCTTAAAGCTCATGGAGTGCAATGAGGCTGAAATACTTTCCTATATCAGGACTGGTAGAAATGCTACACAGGGGTAGCTTTGTTTTCAAGTGACTCATTGCTTTTCCTCTGCTTTTACTGCACCAGTTAAAAGGAGTTGTGTAGCTGGATTGCTGACCCCAACACACTCCTGTAATGGGCAACAGCCCCCAAGTCTCCACACCGTGTTGTACAAACTGATTATCAAGCTAGATGCAAACCCAAGCTGAGTGCACATATCGGACAACTGTGCACGCTAATCGGATGCTTCTGTGCTCCTGCTAAATGTCTGAAAGGGAAGATCCTGTGCACATAAATGGCAAGCTGTTACCCTGTTGGCACATGCCAATTAGGTGCTGATGTGCTCACACCACCATGGGCTAATAAGGTAACAGATCTTAAACCTCATTTGCACAATTGCTCCTGGATGCCGTCTCCTGTGGTCTGATTCCCACTGCACTCATGAGAGCAGGACTGACTTTGTATATTCTTTGAAAACAACCCAACCTGCATCAGAGACTGGCACCACTTTCTCCACGTAACAGAAATAAGCCTTGACCTTTGGCTGTGTGCTCAGGTCCAAAAAGGGCAACAAGGCAAGTGAGTCCATGACAACATCCCAGGCTCAGGATATCCTCTCTCAGTGTACAGGAGCCTCGAAGCCTCCTCTTGTGTGTTGTGCGAGTGATGGGCTCTCCAGTGGAGAATGGAGCACAGAGGAGATCCCTGGAAGAGTAGCCAGGGGCATGGGTTTGCTCCACAAGGGACATCAACCTGCTGAACCATCCCCTTCCTTTTAAGCATCCCTTCCCTTCCTAGCACTCACCTACCCACCTTTGACACCGAGTGAGTCATTCCAGCCTGCAATCCGAAAAAGTTGCCACCCCTGACTCAGTTTGCTTGAGAACTCCCACACACAGGACCACCTAGGATGGAGGTGTCTCTTTCCCATGGATCTGCATGGTCGGCTCTGGCAGGAATTGCTCTTCACTGTACTGGCTTTGGTACCATACCCGTGTCACTAATGATGTCACTCACCTCCAGCACCCAAGAGCTGGTGAAAAGCATCAGTCTAAACAGTTTATATATAGCAGCAGTCAAAAAAAAATGCAACCAAGCTGTGCATTCAGACCACAAATAAGGCCTAAAATAGCTGCACTTGGATAAACCTGAGCTGACTGCTAATTGAGATTGTACCTCATACAGGCTTCCTTGTCTGCTTCCAAAAGCTGTTTATACATGCAGAACATCATAAAATCTGAGATGCTAAAGGTATTTCCACTACCCATGGTGTCCAAGAGTAACCCCAGAATCGTTCCCTGGGGCAATTCAAAACCCCAGCAAAAAAATAGCAAGGTATGTACTTACAATACGGCCCCCCGACCCTGTGCATGGCTTGAAAGGAACCAATTTGGGGGAAAAGACTAGACATTAGTTTTAAGAATCCAAGGGGCTTATAGAGGAACCCACATGTATCACATCCACACCAGCACATTGCCTGACTACACAAAGACGAGAAATCCCTGTTGGATGGCACCTGGAGCATTTAAGTTAAACAGATGAAGGATTCAGTTCCTTGTACTTACTCTGTCTCCTGGGGGCCCATTTGAGCCAGGTGGGCCATCAGCTCCTGTTAAACCCTGGGCAGGAATAGAAAGCAGGGGTGAGACAAGGAAGCAAAGCATGTTGAGAACCCACCCCAGCTTGTTTACAAAGGAGCTTTATGGGGTTAGGCATAGGTAGCCAAACCCTAGGAAATCCAGGTCACTTTGCCCTAAATCAGATGTCAGAGAAGGAACTGGAAGTGTGTGAAGTTTTTCTACTCATGTGGCATATTAATTAAACACACCATAGCAGTGACCAGCTCACTAGGGCTTACATGTAGGGCAAAGCAAGATTCAACAGGTGCCCGTGTAAGTCTGTGTACTTCCTCACTACCCACCGAACCCATGCAGGTACCTAGTTTGCACATGCAAATACAGGTTCACCCGCATGGTGGATGTATACGACTGTCAGAAAATGCATCTGTTATACCCAGTTTTGAACACTTGTTACCCATAGGGGTTTTCCCCTAAATTTTATAATTCTATAACAACTGGTTCTTAAAAAATAAAGTGTTTTGTCTAATTTATCACTTACATAAATGACCAAAGTCCATATGGCTGTTAAAAAGATTCCATCAATTAGTCATTTTAAAATAGTTACTGCACCGATTGTTTTGCCTGTGACTTGGAGCAGGAAATTTAAAAATACATTGTGAAAATGTTAAAAGAATGTTAAGGAAAAAAAAATCAGTTGTCATCTATTTGTTGCCTGCAGCCCATAGATTTCCAGCCTCTCTCACTTAATCCTGAGGCTCAGTTTAATTTGGAAAGGTTGCCTTGTAAGGTCTCATTCTGCAAAGACTTTTCCCGTCAAAGATCTTAGCTATAATTTCGGTGGAACTGCTCACACGCATGCAGTTACTCAGGTTTGCAAACCTTTGCAGCATCAGGTCAAGCAACAATTACCATCCTTTTCCTAGGATCCTGGTATATTAAAACAGAGCAATAATAATGTAGTACAACATTTTTATAGGTCACTCAGCCAGTAGAGTGTTATCGCATGGACTCAAATGACATAAAAAGTGAAGATGTGACACTCTTCTGTCTGAAACTCTTTACAGAGAGTAGCTGTAGATACGACAAGAGAAAAGGAAGGTGTTTTAGGGACAGTCGCAGTCGATTATGGGGACCAGTTCAACATCTTGGAGGGAGGAAAGAAATCACCACTAAGCAGTGGAGATGGGAGAAATGCCAGATCAGTCTCACAGATCATCTTCAGGGTAGGGAATGGAAGTGTGCTTTGACTGAAGAAGTGACCTGGTGCTGGCATGAGATCCTCTGACATTTCAAGAACCAGAACTTAAGAACATGGAAGAGGATCACGACAG